GAAATTCTGCGAAACCACATAATTACGAGTGTATTTACGGTCTAACAAGAATCACATCTGTTGATGACAAATATTTCTTTGGGTTCAACATTGACCAGAGGACATTGAATTGATTATTATACTTGCTGTAGGCTATTGACTGCATTGTAATTTTTTAGGCTGCTAAAACTATGATCGCTTAAGCGGCAGTGAATATCTGAGAGTTGCAGGAAGGGAAATTTAGAGCAAGAGGGAGAAAAGAAAAAAAATGTTGCATTGATATCATCAATAAAAGGACTGAAAAGAAGTTGAGGTGCTTCATTGTCCAAATTTGAAAGGCTCATTGGTGACTGGGTAGCAGACATACTGAAGAGCATTTGTTGATTAGAAAATGGTTTGTCCATGTGGTCAGTTTAACACTTTATTTCATTTCTGTGTTATTTAGGTCTTGGGTGTCGTGTCATCGAGTTTCTTTAAACTGAGTGCTATTGTTAACAAACTTACTTTCTTGCTTTTAGAAGTTGATATGGTTCTTCTGTTGTTGAGAGTTTCAATAAACTGATGCATTTTAGAATATTCGTTTTTCAGGCTGTCCTGAAGGAAAACCGTGCAAATGTTCACCCTGTCAGTGTTGTTCCAAGAATGCAGATGGTAGGTTTTTTCCTATGATTGTTTATTACTTGGTTAGGTGGTTCTGATCTTTCGAAAACTGCTTTCCAGTAGTTGCAGCTTTTAAGACAGTTGGGCAGAACTGTTTTACTAATTTAACATCTTTATTCGATTTTGAGCTTAGTCAACTTGCCTACAAAATTGTATGATTTTTAAAAGATTTCAAAATTGAGAATTTTTTAACATAAAAGTTTTTGGATTTGTTTGTGTATATTTGTACCACATTCATAGCACTTAGACGACGTTAGAACAGCCCTGAGCTTTGCAGAGTTAAAAATTATCGGTATAGGTACAGAAAGACTTACTAACGAGTTTTTTGGATTCACAATAGTTTTTTTACGATAAAAGGAAAGGGTTCCTTGCAGCACTAACGCAAAATAATTTTGACTTTGTTTTTCTCGTACTAATTTCGCTTTGTAGTTGGATTAGATAATAATCTTGGCAATTGGGATTAAGTGAGTTAAATCTTTTTTGAATCATTAGTTTTTTTGATTCTCAACTACCTTAGAGGTAGAGTATCTTTATGATCAGTTTTTCTCGCACTAATGTGTATAATCTTTCTTCTGGTTCTATTTTTTTGGAGGCTAAGGCTGAATTGGGGAGTGCTACCAAAAATTGGACAGTGACAGTGGATATTGCTGTTAATGTCATTTTGAGGACTTTGAAGGATAAGTGTTTCAGTTTTTTGTTTGGCACTTATTTCTGTTCGGGGTATAGTTATTTGGAAAATTGCAAAGGTTTAGCTTTATACATTGACAAGGTACTTTTTGTAGGAACATGTAATACGAAAGATTGTAAGTGTGCCGATTGTGGAACAAAGTGTTATGAAGCGAAAAAATGTTGTTGTGAGGGAAAGTGTTGTGCAAAATGGTATGTGGGAAACTTTTTAATATTGGTATTTGTAATTTTAGCGATGTGGTTATTCAGTTCATCATGTTTTGTTTTACTGTTCTGCCGACGGTGGAACAATATTTGGACTTTTCAAGGGTTTCAGTTTTATTAAAGTCAATTTTTAGAAACCCTGGTCGATGGGACATGACGACAGCGGATACACAATTGATTGCTCAATTTTTTACCAATTCTTGCCGCAGCACTGTTTTTGTTACTTAGGTGTTCTTCTTTGATGCATTTGTGCAATTTACCTGCTTATAGATGTTGTTTCTTGAATGGATAATTATGTAATTAAATAAATTAGCTTTGAATTCGGTTGACGGGGTTGGTGTCTTGTTCCTGTTTAAATGGAGTACCAACGTCGGTTTTATGGAGCGTATCAAAATGATGCACCAGAAGGGCAGTGTTATGCAGATCTAGCTTTACATGGTCAGTACAGTGAAAGCTTGATCGGACGGGTCCGGCTATGAGATTTTAAAGGGTGGCTGATGCGTCTGCAAAAGAAGTGGAACTGCGTGGGAGGTTAAGACAAGCAATATTGAGAACTGCATTTGTTATAGAAATAGTAAGTTTCGTGTCTTACGAGCCAGTTTGTTGTAGTTCCCAGTTTTGTGATGTATTATTTGGGCTTGGAGAAGAGCTGTCTTGTAGAGGCTTTATTTGACTGTATTTTGTTAATGCTGAATTCATTAAGAATAGACAGTTGTCTAAGAAGAGTTGGGACAGTTAAAGAACTGCTGAGGTTAATTTTCTTGTTTGGCCATTGGAGTATTAAACTCAACATTTCCAGAGTTTTCTTTGAAATCGTGTTTAAAGCATAAGGTTTACCGAAGTTATAAAAAACAGCATTTGTATAACTTTAATCAGCTGCGGTATTTCAGCGTTTTAGGGGTAACTGGTTTTTTACAGTGTGGGGAAGCTTTTTTTTTTGTAACTGACAAATGTTTCTTTCTCCTGCCTCAACCTACAATTTTTTTTTGAACTTAGTTTTCTGGATTCAAAATACTGCCATTTTTATTGGCAGAAAGAACATTCTTAGTTGGACTTATGTTTTTAGAAGTTAGTAGTTCTTTAAAAAGAGTGAAAACACTTGATAACTTACATATTTATTTGAGGAGCACTTATCTTTATAAAACCTGTTTTTTTAGGTACTTTAACTGAATTTGTTTTATGTAATTCTTTGGCAACTAAATAAGCGTTCAGGCTGCGCCAATTGTCGTCAACTGTCTTACCAACTTTTTTATTAGCAGCTGTAGCTAAGTGTAGGAGGAGCTTTGAAAATATATAAATAACTGATTGCCTTTTGGTGACCAATTGTAGTGATTTTTGGCGGTTGCATTCTTTGCAGAACTGTTTCAACTGGATCAAATTTTTATGCAATCAAATGATTGCTGAGTTATGACATTTAGTAAGAGGAATTTAAGTCAGAAGTCATGTATGTGTGTGAATATTTAATTCATGATAAAGCTGATCAGTTACGGCGAAAAAAAAAAAATTTTATAGGCACAATTATAATAGACTTAATTGGTATTTCTAAATGAACAATTTTTTCTATTTTTAGAATTTGCAGGAGAGACGAAATTAACTGTGCTATGAGTAATACACTGAAGATAAAAAAAGTTTGCTAACCAAAGTTTAGAATCGAAAAACAGGTCAGTTTACAATGCATGATAACCTGTTAATGAAGTGGAGATGGCCATATATGACTGCTTACTGTTGTTTTGATTTTACATATTCAATGTATTATCTAAATTTCATTCACCGTTTTTTTAGATCGGCTCAGACGGATATTTCTAATTTTTTTTTTTTAATATTATTTACAGTAAGAAATTTATAGTGCAAAACGTGCTGACTCAGTGAAAACCTGACAAAAAACTCTTAGATAGTTAAAAATGATTATTCATTCATCATTCATACTCTCTAAATAAGTGATCTGCTCTTGGTAACTTGCTTTTTTTTTTGGTAGAATTTTTACTTGACTTAATAAGATGTAAAATTATATAATAAT